TCAGCACAAACATGAACATGAGTCTGTGAGCAGATGTGCACGCATGAACACATCAACATTGAAACAGATCAGCAGCAACATGAAACAGATCAGCAGCAACATCTGGTCTGGTCTGGGGTGAAGTTGGTCCTGTTGATTAAGTCCTTGTCTTGTAGAAGTTGTTTTCTGATGGTTTCTACTGCTTCAGAGATGGGTATGCATGTGAAAAGAGAAGTCACGTCATATGATACAAGGGTTTTTCCTGGGGTTAGTTTCAAGTGTTGAACTTTGTTAGTAAAATCAATGGAGTTCTTTATGTGATGAGGTGTGTTTCCAACAAGAGGAGCTAAAATACCAGCCAGATGTTTAGCAATATTGTATGTCACTGAGTTCATGCTGCTGACGATGGGTCTGTGTGGTGTTCCTTCTTTGTGTATTTTTGGAAGTCCATAAAGACAGGGAGTGGCTTCCCCTGGGTACATTCTATAATACAACAATCGATTGATTGTTTTCTCCTTTTCAAGTTTTTGCAGGTTATCTGTGACTTTCTTTTTGTAGGCACTGGTTGGGTCCCTCTTCAGGGTCTCGTAGGTGTTGCTGTCGCTCAGTAGTGTAGTTATTTTTTCCCGGTAATCAGAAGTGTTGAGGACTACTGTGCATCTTCCTTTATCAGCTGGTAAAATGGTGATGTTTTGGTCCTGGCTGAGTGATGTTACAGCTTTCCTTTCCTGTGGTGTGAGGTTTGAAGGAGGCGGTTTGGCACTGGAGAGGGTTGCTGATATTTCCATTCTGAGTTGTTCTGCCTCTGCTTCCGTCAAGTTGTTGTTCCTAATCGCGGATTCAGTGGCCGTGATTAGTTCCACAACAGGTATTTCTTGAGGGGAGATGGCAAAGTTTAGTCCTTTTGCCAGCACATCTTTCTCAGGTTGTGTCAATGTTCTGTTAGACAAATTTCTAACCCACTGGTCCTGAAAATTAGTGTTGGCGACAAACTCCTGATCTTGACTGATGGTTTGTGATGAGAAAACAGCTCTCTGTTGTAATTTTAGAAACTTACTTTTTTGACGTTCCTTGCTCTTTTGATGCTGTGATAGCTGGGCCTTTTCAACAAAACAAGAAACTTCTTCCAACAGAGGAAATGGTAGCAGAGTAGACAGCTTCTGGAGGGTCTGATCCATTTTGAGTGAGAGAGCTTCAATGGTGAAGTGGATCTGTCTTATTCTCTCACTGAGCAGCTTGTTTTGAGCTTTCAGGAGTATTCCTTCTGCTCTGTGTGCTTTGATCGTGGAGTTGAGTTTCAAACTGAATTGAATTGAGAAAGCTCCTCGGATGAGGAGCGAAACGTCTTCTTTTACAAATAAACTCCAGTTGTTTTTGTATTGAACGCTTTTTGAATTCATCATGTCCTGGATGACTGAGAATCTTCACCAGCACTTGTTGAAACGTTTCGTCTTTTATCCAGAACACTTCTTCAGTCTGAGGAGCTGCAACTAACTCAGTCTTATAAATAGCTCCTTCTCATGGTGGCTCAACCAGTTTGTTGTGGACATCCAGAACCAGCTGCTCACATGGTCAGTGTCGGGGTTGTTTCTGGGTTCGGAAATGATGACTGTGCGCTGGGGCCGGGTCGGATCAGATTTTTTGGGCCTGAATGCAACTCTAGATGTTAGGCTGATTGTCCTCCTTGATCATGTGAGCAGCTGGTTCTGGAGGTCCACAACAAACTGCTTGATCCACTCTGAGAAGTTGCAGCTCCTCAGACTGAAGAAGTCTTTGGGATAAAAGACGAAACATTTCAGCAAGTGTTTAATTTTATTTTGAAATACGTCCAGAGAACCTGACAACTCTTTCTGCCTGGATTGTTGAGGATCAGGATATTTTACAGATTCAGTTTTTCATTTGGCTGCTTCCTTGTTCAGGGGTCGCCGCAGCGAGCACACTCACAGATGTGGTCATTGTTTTGATGCCGGATGTCCTTCCTGACTGAACCACAGCCCACTGTGTGGAGCAGGGAGCTGATATTTAGGGTGCCGGGGAGCAGATGGTGGAGGTTGAGGGCCTTGTTCAAGGGCCCAAAGTGGAGCAGATGAGGGTGGAGGCAGGTGGAGGCGTTTCACCTTTCCCACACAAATTTTGATGTCAACCAGAGACCTTCCATTCATAGACTCACCTTCTCTAACCTCTGCTTCATCACTTACCCCATTTTTTTTAACAGATCTACATAAATATAGAAAAAAAAACCCAGAGTTTGTACAATCTCTTGTATAGACTCTAATACTTAATGGTTTTTATAAAATACAAAAATCTGAATTTCTGGACATGGCTTATTCTCAAACAAGTGGAATATTTTGCACATTAGTTGTTTTTTAAAAGATGGCCAGGATCATATTAATTTTATCAAGCTACGAGTTTTAATGATTTAGCCTTGAGTATCATTTTCATGTTATTGTATTTTGCAGATAGAGAAGTGCCAAATGTTTTGTGAAAGTGTGCATGTTGTGGTGATCCCTGAACAAGGGAGCAGCTGAAGAACAACTAGATGCATATCCAGTCTCAAAAATATTACATTTAAATTTTAAATTTACACTTAAATTTTCAGCCAGATCTTAAACTTCACCGAAGCAACATTAAGTTTAGTGACCTCCGATTTGCGTAACCGTGTGTCATTACAGCCGACGTGAACAAGTCTTAATGTTATCTTACACACGTAACACACGTTAAAATGTTACACCCCAATGTTGTTATTAAGCCTCTTGACTTTTTAAAAATAAAAAGATTATCCCGAGTTGAAAAATCAGCATCAGTAAAAAATCAAACAGTAAAATCTCCAACACTGTAATAAAATGACATCAGACTTTTTCATGAACAGTGCTTAACATTTTGGACAGATGCCTTTTGTATGTTTCTTAACATAGGTTATATACTGTAATTTCCAGCCTATTGAGCGCACCTGAATATAAGCCACGCCCACTACATAAAAAATGGAAAATGGACTGTACTTATAAAGCACCTTTCTATCTTATCCAGATATTCAAAGTACTTTACAACAATATGTGCCTCATCTACCCATTCATACAGCTCTATACTAGATCTCTACAAAGACTAATCAGTTCTTTATCACATTCAAACACCGATGGGACACGGAGGCAGTGAGGGGTTCAGTGTCTTGCCCAGGGACACTTCAGCCTGTGACTGCTGGTGGAATCGAACCCCCAGCTCTTGCATTGGAGGAGACTGCTCTAACCACTCAGCCACAGCCACCCAAAAATAATAATTTGTACACACTGTATACAGGTCCTTCTCAAAAAATTAGCATATTGTGATAAAGGTCATTATTTTCCATAATGTAATGATAAAAATGAAAGTTTCATATATTTCAGATTCATTGCACACCAACTGAAATATTTCAGGTCTTTAATTGTTTTAATACTGATGATTATGGCATACAGCTCATGAAAATCCAAAATGCCTGTCCCAAAAAATGAGCATATCATGAAAAGGTTCTCTGTACAAGCTATTAACCTAACCATCTGAATCAACGACGTAACTCTAAACACCTGCAAAAGATTCCTGAGGCTTTTAAAAACTCCCAGCCTTGTTCATTACTCAAAACCACAATCATGGGTAAGACTGCCGACCTGACTGCTGTCCAGAAGGCCATCATTGACACCCTCAAGCAAGAGGGTAAGACACAGAAAGAAACTGCTGAACGAATAGGCTGTTCCCAGAGTGCTGTATCAAGGCACCTCAGTGGGAAGTCTGTGGGAAGGGAAAAGTGTGGCAGAAAACGCTGCACAACGAGAAGAGGTGACCGGACCCTGAGGAGGATTGTGGAGAAGGGCCGATTCCAGACCTTGGGGGACCTGCGGAAGCAGTGGACTGAGTCTGGAGTAGAAACATCCAGAGCCACCGTGCACAGGCGTGTGCAGGAAATGGGCTACAGGTGCCGCATTCCCCAGGTCAAGCCACTTTTGAACCAGAAACAGCGTCAGAAGCATCTCGCCTGGGACTGTTGCTGAGTGGTCCAAAGTTATGTTCTCTGATTACAGTAAATTTTGCATTTCCTTTGGAAATCAAGGTCCCAGAGTCTGGAGGAAGAGAGGAGACACAGAATTCACATTGCTTGAGGTCCAGTGTCAAGTTTCCACAGTCACTGGAGTGTCATGTCATCTGCTGGTGTTGGTCCACTGTGTTTTATCAAGCGCAGGGTCAATGCAGCTATCAGGAGATTTTGGAGCACTTCATGCTTCCATCTGCTGAAAAGCTTTATGGAGATGAAGATTTCATTTTTCAGCACGACCTGGCACCTGCTCACAGTGCCAAAACCACTGGTTTACTGACCATGGTATTACTGTGCTCAATTGGCCTGCCAACTCTCCTGACCTTAACCCCATAGAGAACCTGTGGGATATTGTGAAGAGAAAGTTGAGAGACACAAGACCCAACACTCTGGATGAGCTTAAGGCCGCTATCGAAGCATCCTGGGCCTCCATAACACCTCAGCAGTGCCACAGGCTGATTGCCTCCATGCCACGCCGCATTGAAGCAGTCATTCATGCAAAAGGATTCCTGACCAAGTATTGAGTGCATAACTGAACATGATTATTTGAAGGTTGGCGTTTTTTGTATTAAAAACACTTGTCTTTCATTGGTGGGATGAAATATGCTAATTTTTTGGGACAGGCATTTTGGGTTTTCATGAGCTGTATGCCATAATCATCAGTATTAAAACAATTAAAGACCTGAAATATTTCAGTTGGTGTGCAATGAATCTGAAATATATGAAAGTTTCATTTTTATCATTACATTATGGAAAATAATGACCTTTATCACAATATGCTAATTTTTTAGAAGGACCTGTACAGACCATGCTTGTCTATAATTCACGGGTGTCCATGTTGCAACATGAGATGTTTACACTCTTTTTTTTTTCTTTTTTTTTTTTACATTTAATTAAATATGTACTGGTAACATACACAAATACGCACAGTAAATGTTTTTTTCTGAACAGTTCCGGTACCATGGCTGGTAAAAAATAAAACTACAGTAGCCCACCAGTAAGTCATTGATCGCTATCTTCAACTTCCTCCTGCAGAGGATTCTTTTACTCTGCTCTGCTGTCAGGGTCCACCGGCAGACTGAAGCCAAAGTTGCTCTTCACATGCAGACAGTTTTGGTAAACAATTTCTCACCGCCAGTCATACAGTATTTACAAATAAAATAAAACTACTACTTCATGAAATGAGTGCAAGTTTACTGTAGTTGGAAATCTTTTGTAAATGTCACCTATAAATGTGTTACTGCGTGAACACATTTGCATCTATCACATTTTCTCACCTGCATTTTTTAGGTGTTCCTGCCTTTCTTTAGCTGTGTTTACATGGACATCAGTAACCGGATCAAAAGGCCGTTTGGAATAAAAGTGTGTCATGTAAACGCCCCGTTCAGGTTATTTTTTGTGTATTCAGCGTGATCTGAAATAATTTGTGATCAGAACCAAACGGGTGGTTTATGTCGATCCATAACCTGATCGGTGCGCATGTGAACACTTGATCTGTTCGTTTTTATCTGATGGTGAACAACTGACCTGACTGCTCATGTGCGACTTTGTCATTTCCTCCTGGCTAATGCTAACAATGTTAGCATGTCGGGGAAGTAAAACTGGTCAGTGAGCAACACAACATTTTTATTAGAAACTTTGAAAGAGCTCAGCATGATGTGCATGACCTGCAGCTCAGTCAGGGAGCGCAGCGTCTCCACCGTCAGTAAAACCTGTCGCGGGTCCATTTTGGTGCTCAGCTTTGTTTACGTTCATCCAGGAAGTAGAACTTCTTCTTCTGTGATATTGTTAAGGAGAGTTACCACTCTGCACATGTCAGTACTGCTGTTCAGAACAAAGCCCGCTGCAGGTAAACGCTCATCGTGAACAGATTGTGCCCGTGTAAACGATACTTTTGAATTATTTAATCTGAAAACATTTCAGTCCAGTCAAAAAATTGTGCACATGTAAACATAGCTATTGTGTCCCAGTTTATTCCCTTTTCTTGACACACAAATCGTTTTGTAGCGAGCGACTTCAGAGGAGTGAAGCAATAAGACAAACTGCATGCCACTTGCAAGTAAATAATAATAATAATAATGAATTTAATTTCTAACACACTTTTCATTAACAAAAATCTCAAAGTGCTATAAAGTGCAACTAAAATCAAAAATCAACTAAAGTCATTGATAAAATCATGTGGAGGCAGAATAGGCTTGCTTAAAAAGAAAGGGTTTCAAGCCTTTTTAAAGTCAACCAATGATTGTGGAGCTCTCAGAAAGTGAGGCAGGGAGTTCCAGAGGCGGGGGCAGCCTCACAGATTGCCCCGTCTCCCTTGGTCTTGAATGTAGTTTGTGGAAGGAGAAGGACATGACTGTTCTGTGATCGTAGGGAGCGGGTGGATGAATATGGAGCAAGAAGAAATACAGCAAAACTAAGATATTTTGTGTGCAAGTTTGAACTTCGTGTGGATTTTTCTGATCTGCTGAATCATGTCAGACTAAATCTGAATTGTTGTTTTTCTTCTGCTGGAGTTTTCACAGCGAGCAAATTCACATGACTTGGTGACTGTTTGACCCCAGGTGCACGTTCCGACACAAACCGGGCTCGAACTTGCAGCCTCAGGATTAGAGGACTGCAGCCCATGACTGCTGAACTACTGCAGTCTCTGTCCAACGAAACTTGAGTATGAACTAAAAACAAAGGAAAAATGTGTGAAGGAACCCTTTAAATGTCACTCAGAACCTGTGTTTAAAGAACTCCAGGCCATGTGGCTTCTTGAATCAAAACGTAAAGCTGTGAGGGCTGGATCAGGAGGTTTGGACTGATTAACGTGGCAGCAGCAAGGCTTGGACTCTGGGACTCTTCCACTGCAGACAGTAATAAAGGCTGCATGTGTCAGCATTGTTTCATTGGAAGAAGCAACAATCATCTCTTAAAATGACCTCTGTCTATCCATCAGCTGGCCCTGGTCCCTGTCTGCATCTGAAAGTTTCTTCTCTTCCTGCTGCTCCTCTTCAGGTGTACTTCACAGCTCTCCTGACTCCCTGGCTGAGTCCTGGTTCAAGTCTAGACTCAGCCACCAGCGCAGCTACAGCTCCGCTCACTCCTGCGAGGAGTCGGACCTGGACCTGGACCTGGACCTGGACCTGAACCGCTCTCTGGGAATCCACGCTCTCATTGACAACATGGTCTGCTTCATCAGCGGCGACGTGGGCCTGGTGCCAGCCTTCAAGGAACCAGAGGAAAGCATGTCCACTAGCCCTCAGGCTACCGTTCTTGCTATGGAGCAGCAGCAGAGCAGGGCAGAGGTGAGGCGGCTGTTAGGTCTTCGCAGGACTGTCAGGTGGAATACGACGCCTCGTATTCAAAGATGTGCGTACATGTTTTACTCAAACCTGGTGTACACTTCAATCAAGAAAATGCACAGAAATATTCAGTTGTATAAAACTGTATACACATACGGTTATGAAAAATATACCGTAACCTTGTTTAAGTGTGTTTTCAAGTTAAGAGTTTATTTTTAGGGGGGAGGGGATTCATGCTGAAAATCATGTGGGTGAAATACAATTTAAAAAATCTCGTCAAACAGGAAGATCTTTAGAAAATTCTGAGCATTTAGTGGATTCATTTTGCTTAATGAAAAAAGAGATGAAGAAAAGCTCTGATTGCAATAGCACAATTTCATTTTTTGTATCAATCACTGCAAAAATGACCACTTCTTTAGTCAGTACTATTAACGTAGCAACAGAGTATAAGTTGTTCTGTATGCAGTATTTAAAAAAAGATATCACACGTCTTTAAACGTGCTATCTGGAACAGGTTACCCTCAAATATTGGTGTGCAAATGCTTCACATTTGTGATTTTCTAACTGTCGCCCCACACAGGTTTTACAGCTTTTTGTCTTGACATGTTTTGTCATCTTCTCATTATTATACAGGGAAAATTATTAACGACAACGAGGATGAAAACGTTTGTCAGTTAACTGTTGTGTTGACTGCATGGATGTGCTTTGTCTTTCCAGCTGCGTTTGGAAGCGCTCCATCAGATTGTGGTGTTGATCTCTAGCATGGAAGAGAAGGGCAGCCAGTCTGGAAGTGCTAATCGATGGAGCAGCACCTTCCAGTCCTCTTTTCTTCTTACCTCCGTCAGGCTGCAGTTCCTGGCTGGCTGTTTTGGTCTTGGCACCGTTGGTACCGGAGGCCTGAAGAGCGAGAGCATGCAGCTGCATCACTATCAAGTAATGAGGAGGTCCTCTTTCAAACCTCGTTCAGTTTCTCACTATGGAAAACACCTTTAGGTATGACCAGTTGGAAAAGCTCCACTCCCACCAGGTCTGTCTCTGACAGAACAATCAGGGAGTACCATCCCTCTTTATACGCACCCCTCCCAAACCTGGCATTCTCACTTTCTTCTATGCAATAGAATAGCTTCTGAACTGTCTCAGTTTGTATATAAATCTTGATCGTTCAGAAGTGTTTGTTGACTTTCTCTGAGGGGAAAACAGTTAATGCCAAGGATATCGTCTTTTCCTTGCTCATTGTCCTGCTGACTCACCAAGGAAAGGACCAAATCCTCTCTGCATCGCATTCAGTGGAGTGAAGCATGCCCAGGAGGCGCTGACTGATCCTGGCTCTCGTGACCACTGCCACTCTGTCCACCTTATTCCTAGCCCCCATGCTGCCTCGCATGAATTATAGTCGCAACTTCCAGCTCGGACCAGAACCGACGTTTGTTTATGTACGAACAGTACAAGCTAATGTTGTCATGGTCTGGTGTGGTGGTTGAACAAAGTGCAAGCAGATGCAGGGAACTTGGGTAAAATAAAGAATAATGTTTATTGATACAAAAGCTGACGTGGCAACAAAACTTACTCGAGGGTGTCATGAGAGGGGAACTGCAAGGCTGGAGGGCACAAGGGTGAACACGAGGGAAAAGGAAAAAGAAAAAAAATGATAAGGCAAAGCCTGGGAATAGGACACAGAAGGACCAGCTAGGAGACCGTCCATCGCCAGGGTAGAGTTCAGGCAAACGGGTTCAGAGCAGCGCCACGCTGAAGCCACGGAGCTCGAATGTCCATCGTAAAAACAACTTTACCGTGGTTTAATGTGGCGCTATGGCTCTGCAGACAGTGCACGTTGCTGTCTTGTTTTGTGGTGTTTAGTGTAAAATACTTCCACACAGCGACATGTTTCAATGAAAAGTTTGTTAGCTGTTAGCCACAGTGCTGCTAACTCAGCCCTCACGTTGTAGCTGCTGCAAACTATGAACTGGATTTCCTGAATGTGAGGCGGGTCTTATTACTCTGGGCTCATGAGACACGACTCCGTTCAGGAAATCCATTCCATATTTTGAAGCCAACGTGCATCATGGATCGGAAAACTCCGGTACATAAATTTTGCCGATATCGGATCGGCCCCATCCCTACTCGTCACTAGAACTGCTGGCTTTTCCTCCTTCTGGCTCGAGGCTTTTTCAGCAACTGAACTGAAACCAGTGCATGTGTTAGGTGTTTACTTGGACAGGGTAAAAGGTTTCTGTAGAAGTAACTAGCTTTTGGCATCCTGAGCTCTCTGCCTTAAAGAGAAGCCTCCATTCAACCAGTGACTGTCACGCTGGATTGTGAAGGCAATACCTGAAAGCACATTCCACCAATCATATGTTTACCTGATGGTCTCTTGTCTGGGGTGTTTCAGTGGAGAATATCTTTGCAATTGTGAGTTGGGCATCATGACATACTTTCATGAGATGCTACTTGTGGATGTGACTGTCATTGTTGGTACACTCAGTCCATAGTGAGGGGATCGTAGCACTGTACCAGACCTTAGAGTGGACTCGTGGTGTCAACCTTTATATATTGTTTTCAGGTGAGGTGCTCATCTGATTTAGATAATAGAATCAGAGAGTTGGCTCCCATAGTGAGACACCAATGAGGTTTGAATGAGAACTTTTTGTTACCAGAGTAATCTTAGTTTTGTGAAAATGGAGTGAGGTTTCCCACCACGTTGCCCTGCTTGCATAGTGCCGTAGAAGAAATACACATGAAAATGCCAGTTGAGGGCAGGGGAGCGTATGAAGGGGAGGACGCCCCTGTGCCAAGCGCAGGGTAGTTCTGTTACTGACAGACTTGGTGGTAGTGGAATTTCCATGATTGGTCATGCCTGAAGGTGCTTCCCATAGTGAGATACCTCTCAGTTTTCAGAGAACCAGATAATCTGCTTATATATATCTGGTTATATTATCTCTGATAATCCCAAGTTTTCTGCTGATGAAGCCCGATACACGAAAAGCAAAATATCCTGATTTGACTGATGCTTGTTGTGCAGGATGGGATTAAAGCTGCCAAGAGGAGCCTGCAAATGGAGATTCAGACAGCTGTCCATAAAATCTATCAGCAGCTGTCAGTCACACTGGAGAGAGCCCTGCAGGCCAACAAGCACCACATAGGTAACACTACTATTCCCATTGTTGCTTGTTTAAACCGCAAACGTGGGGTCACCTTGATTGGACTTGGAAGGCTCGACAGTCTTTACAAAACAGTCTAGCCTCATGTTGTGTTTACTGTATCTCAGTGAGTCTGCACTGTTTTAGATAAATTATGTATATATATATATATATATATATATATACACATTAAATTTTGGAAATATATAAATTAAATAAGCTCTTGATTCTCGGTCCAAAATGTGCACATTTTGGACCGAGAACACAGATGGTTTGAGAGGGGGGTGAAGGAAGCAATTTATGTAAAAAGAGAAAAGCCGTCTCTTAACAGAGGAGGAGGCCTCAGATTCCCACTTTCAAAAACATATAATGCAACTTTAAAACAGATCCCCAGCCGGTTTTTACACCTGATGGGAACAGAGGGGCCTCGTCTGTGAATTAGAGGAACAAAAGACTCTTACTGTTAAGGTGTTTAGGTGTGAACTGTCAATCTACATATGTGTGTGTGTCTTATCTCACTCAGCCTTATAACCTGAACCTCTCACTCTCTGCTCTTTGAACTGAGGAAGCTCCTCGGATGAGGAGAGAAACGTCTTCTGTTACAAATAAAGTCCAGTTGTTTTTGTGTTGAACGTTTTTTGAGAACAAGGGCAATGTTCAGCATCTCGGCATTAAACAGTGATTTTCTGCATTTCAGTCGGGTTTCTGTTGATGTCCAACAATGTTCAGTCAGGTCTTCTGGACGGTTTCTTCTTTTGTGCTGAGACGTTTCACATGTGAGCGAGCTGGTGCACATATCTTTTCACCTTTCTTTCCCTCCTCAGCGGCGCTGCGCACTGAAAAACACCCCCTCTCCCCTCCTCTCAGACCCCCAATCACTTAAGGAGGGTGGGGGGGCTGCAGTTCACATGAAGCTGCTGAATTGATTCGTTCAACAACAGAAACAATCATTTATTCAACAGAATAAATAAATGCCCTGCGGACAGTGCACGTTATGCACAGCATCTCCAAACAGCTCCACAGAGTGCACACAACTGCTGATGTGTCTGAACTCCTGCTACGTTTCAGACAGAACGGATCAGAACATTTTACTGTAAAGAATAAATAAATACAGAGAAATGTTTGATGTGTTCTTCACATTATACGTCACGTTTCAAAACAACAGCACTAATTTGTCAAAATAACAGCGATCAAAATGCCAAAAAGACATTAACTAATAAAAAATGGATGGATGGCTTGTCGTTAGTTGGACAACCTAGAATTGAAGCCATAAGGTGCTTGAAACAGTGCCACGAGACTGGAGCAGGAGCAACACATTCAGTGGAGAAGAGTTCAGCTCAGAACAGTGATGTGAGAGGAGGGGGGATGGGGTTAGGACACCTGACCGAATCACAAGTGCTCTACTCACACACAACCTGCTGTTGCTCGCCAAAATACTCATTTAATCAAAAAGGTAAGTAAATATAGATCTTAATTGGTTGTTATAACAACCCTTTAAAATACAACAGAATGTAGGAAATGGCAGCTTTGTTATTCAACATTTTCTGTGGAAGGACCCACATACCCCCCCCCCCCCACACACACACACACACACACACACACACACACCCAGCCTGCCCGCTGTTCCGGCATCAATCAGTGTACAAATGAAACCCGGAGAGGAAGGCAGTAGGACCTGATGACATACCAGTGGATGTTTGGAAATGTCTTGGAGAGATGGCAGTGAGGTTTTTGACTCAAATATTATTTGAGGGTGAGAAAATGTCTGAGGAATGGAGGACAAGTGTGCTGGTGCCCATTTTTAAGAACAAGGGTGATGTACAGAGTTGTAGCAACTAGTGTTGTAGTACTCGAGACCGGTCTTGGGGCCGGTCTCAAGACCACTTTTTGATGGTCTCGGTCTTGTCTCGGTCATTGAAGACTCTGGATTTTATTTCAAGACCAGTCTAGACCACAATTGTGGAAATATCACTAAATTTCCAGAATATTGTCCAGTTTATTTGTTAACATCTGTTTTTATCGGATGCAAAACATACTGGTTCAAATCCTAGAGATTACGTGACTCATTGTTAAATACATGTTGTTGTTACAGCTGTCACGCCCACCCCCCTTTCACTCGCACACTGTTCTATACCAACAGAACAATACAGACAACTGAACGTAACGTCACAACCAGGGCTGAAAGTTAGCCAGTACGGTCCGGTACTGCGTACCACTAAAAGATTCTGCGCAGTACCTAGAAGAGAGGGGAGCGTCTGTAAAGCCTCATTCAGAACCAGTTACGGCTGCACTTTGGGTCAGAATAGATTCACTAGCAATAAGCAATCTAAAACACGACAATCGGTTAATAAATAGTTTTTTTTCTTCCTCTTTCCCTTTTTTTTTCCACTTTAATTTTTATTATCATTTTCAATAGTACATAACATTCTAAGGATCTCATACATTTTCCAGATTATGGTAGCCTAAGCAGGCCTCTCTTTACAATAACAATTCCAAAAAATAACAATAAAGGGGTGCACACATTCATACAGCAATAACTAAAACAAATAAATAAAATTATATATGTGCAATAATAAGAACAATAAAATAAAATAAATCTCAGTCATAGATGTTTATGGTCTAGAAATTCCCCTGTTAATGGCATTGAGTTTCCTTATGTCTCTTCTTGGGTGCGTCCATTTTTCCCACTTGTTCAAAAAAAATCTTCTTTTAGTCTAAGAATGTAGGTCATTCGCTCCATCTCATAAATGTCCCTAACAATATTCAGCCATTGTTGTATGGAGGGAGCTGACATCTGGTACCAGTTTCTTGTTCTAGCTTTTTTACATGACATTAACAGTATCTTAATCAAGTACATATCTTCATTCAATGCACATTTATTTATATTTCCAAGATCCATTGTTTTAAAATATTGATAATGGGTATCCCAAGATAGCTCTGATTGTAGTATTCACATTTCGCCAATATGAATCTAATTTTGGACACTCCCAGAATATGTGTGTATGTTTGCTTCTATATTTCCACACATTCTCCAACATGGTAGATGAGATTTGGTTTGTTTGCTCTTTATCTTGGGTGTAATGAAAAACCTAGTGAGGTTTTTCCACCCAAACTCTCTCCCAAGTCTCCAGTTTGTTGTTGTGCTCTGATTTATACACATATCCTGCCATTCTTCTGATGATATTTCAATTTTGGATTCTTTCTCCCAGCTAGTTTTTATGTATGTGGTTGGTGTTGGTGTGTCCTCCATCAGAGTTTTATATAATGGCGTTATTTCCTTGAATTGAATCCCTTTGTAGGTCTTAATCACCCAGCCAAGTTCACCATATGATGTTTGAGAGCTTTGTATTTCCCTCAGAAAATAGTTTCTGAGCTGCAAATATCTGAAGAAGTCAGTTTTCTCTAGTTGATATTTTCCTCTTACTTCTTCAAAACTCATCATCTTACCATCTTTAATTCTAGTACAGATTGCAGTTATTCCGTTGTACTCCCAATTTTTAAATCCCTGATCATGTTTGTTTGGTGTAAAACTGCCATCATGTGCAACCCAATGTACTGTATCATCCCAACTTCCTTTCCCATTTGTTTTATCTTTTCAGACCACATGTCCAAGGTATGAGAAGTTATTGACTCAAGTTATGAACATGCTGTTGTGCCTTCCTAAGTTTATCATCCCCAAGTAATGTCTGGAGTGGGACATCGCCCACTATCATTTCAGTGTCTTTGCACTTAGCACAGTAGGTTTGATCACACCATTTAATTACAGGTCATAGGACATAGGGACCCCGTGTACATAATTTCGCTCCACCACATGTACCACATGAGGTGCGAATGACAATAAAGAAACTCTGACTCTGACTCTGATAGTTGTGCTGCACAGTAGTAGTCCTTTAGGTGAGGGAGTGCCATTCCACCTTGTTCCCTTGACAACTGGAATGTTGAATATTTTACTCTTGGCCTCTTGCCATTCCAAATAAATCTAGAAATAATCTTATCCCCATATTTAAATCTCTCTGGTGGGATCCTAACTGGAAGAGCTTGAAAAATATATACTGTAATAACCGGGGGAGGATATTCATTTTTATTACAGAGATTCTTGAGTTTAGATCTAATGCTAGAGTTGTCCATCTGTTTAAGTCCTGTCTAATTTGGAGATTAATAGTGTCATAGTTAACCTTATAAAGATTACTTAGTTTTTTACTTATTATTACTCCAAGATAGTTTATGGATTTTAGATCCCAATTTATCTTGAGTTTGGTTCTGATCTCTTCTGATGGCGTATAATTAAATGACAGCACCTGAGTCTTGGCAACGTTAATTTTATAACCTGAGTGCTGAGAGAAAGAATTCACCAGCTCAACCAAAGGAGTAATATTTTGATTTGTGTTATCCAGGTATATTATAATGTCGTCTGCAAATAAGCTTATGACATGTTCTCTTCCGTTAATATTGACTCCTCTCACCTCCTCACTGTCCCGCACAGCTTGTGCCAAAGGTTCAATGTATAATGCAAAGAGAAGAGCTGAGAGGCAGCATCCTTGGCGAGTACCTCGCTCGAGCTTTATCTGCTTTGTTAGACTGCCATTACTTTTTATTCTCGCTGTAGGATTTTGATAAATTGATTTTATGCATTTAATTGAGTCTTTATTAAAAACCAAATCTTTCGAGTACTGCATATAGGAAGTTCCAGTTTACAGTGTTGAATGCTTTTTCAGCATCTAGGCTCACTAGGATAGCTCTAGTTTTTTGGGATTGTATTGAGTCGGCTACATGGAGGGTTCTCCCAATACTGTCCTGAGTTTTACGTCCCAGGATGAAGCCTGTTTGATCTTCGTCAATCAGATGTGCCAGATTTTTCCATATCGTTCAGCAATTATAGATGTGTATATCTTGTAATCCACATTAAGAACAGATATGGGTCTATAGTTGCCACAATATTCAGTATCTTTCCCCTCCTTAGGGATTACAGAGATGATTGCCTCTCTCCAGGAGATTGGGATCTG